ATTTTACTTTGAAAATAATCATTTATTTTGAGGTATTTACATGTTTTTCCTTTTTGTATCAAAGCCAGTTGTGATTTATTTCTTGATAGTATATATTCAATGGCAAACTAGTTAAAATAGCATTAGTTCATCCTCCATGACTTACTAAACAGGATGGTTGAGTAATCTCTGAGGCACATTGAACTTCTTAAGAATCAATATATATATATATCATGGAGAAAATAATGGATAAAGAAAATAAAGGGAAAACAAATGTCTTCTCCTGCATCCCCTCCAACGCTGGAGTGTGACTAAGATGCAAGGCATTATGCTGCTCCCCCCTTCGTGGGTTTTAGCTATTAAGACTCCTCGTACAGTGTATGTGTCTTACAGGGATGGATGATGGAATTCCATCTTTACTATGTGCTAGGTGGGTCATGTTGGATAATTTTAACCACACTCAGTACTCATCCCATATATTGACTTAAGAACCCAATGCATACAAAATGTGACTTTAAGATCTTTTATTAATGCCAAGAATGACTAAATATATGAAAGATATGTACACATATGTAAAGATAATTATCTTAAAATTATTGGTTTTTCTGGATGCTAACCACAAATAGTGAGGAAACAGTAAAAATATTGTATTCCTCTAGCAACAAAAGAAATACCTAGAGAAAAAAACAAAAAATATGACACATTTATTTGAATAAATGACAAGATTTTACAATAAGCTATTAAAGAAGAAGACTTCAATAGACTAGCATGCTCTTGGAGGGGAGAACTGAATATTATAAATATGTCATTCCCCACCAAATTAATTTATTAGTTATAACTCCAATCAAAACCCCAAGAGAGAAATCCTGAGACTTAAAAAAATGAATCACTGGCTCATAACTTGGAAGAATTGACTTCATTTCTTTCTAGTATCAACTATTCAATAGTTTAAGCTACACTTGTTTCATAGAAAATCATGTAGAGGTTTATGCAATGGAAAAATTATAGAGTGGGCTGAGATAGGAGGTTTTCAAACAAATATCTAAAAGTACAAAGGCACACACACTGTCAGTGTCTTTTGCCACCTTACAGCTTTTTTCAGCACCACCGAAAGAAACAATGGGAAAAAAGTATTTCAGTAAGACATCTTAATTTGGAGTATGTGTGAGTGTGACTATCTTTATACATTGGCTTTTTTATTGTAAAACTAGACTTTATGAATAAGAAATATTACATATTCAAACTCTGTTGGGAAATTGGAAAAGGAATATGTGCAAAAACCTAAGAGAATCAACCCATTACTATGTACTATGCTGCCTGATTCCTGGATGTCTTGTCTGGCTGCTTAGATCCAGGGTGGAACACTTTCTCATCCGTAGTCATGGCTGTATGAAGCCAAAATAAACTGAAGTAGAGAAATAATTGAAGAGCACATATCAGCCAAATGGTGATGCTCAATGTTCAAGTGCTCATTCAACCATGAAGGTGATTACTCTAAGGGAAGAGAAGCAGAGCTATGTGACAAAATATTCATATAGTCATTCAATAAATATTTATTAAACTACTAATAATGTGCTACATACTTTGTCTATCAGCAGGAAATTCACAATGAAATAAGAATGACATGACGTCAACTTTCATGGAGTAAAACTTAGTGAAGAATGAAAACAAGGGAAGCACATCAGGACAGGAACATGAAGGAGGAGAACCACTGAGGACAAGCGATGGTTGAAGGCTTGGCTTTTGCACATTGTGCCTGGTTTCCCATTGTTAGCAGGGAATCGAAGAGGGCAGGAGTGATGAGAAGACAGCCATTCACATCACAAGATGAACAGCCTTCTGGTCACTGGCTTCCTTTCCCAAAAGCTTTTACTGCACCAGGTTCTCTTTACAGCCTGTTTCATCTCCGTGTTTCTAAGTGTGTAAATAAGAGGGTTGAGCATGGGGACGATAACTGTGTAGAAGAGTGTCAACACTTTGTCTTCCGGTAAAGTTGTGGCAGGTCTAATGTAAACAAAGATGACAGGTACAAAAAACAGGATTACAGCTGTGATGTGGGAACTGCAAGTGGAAAGAGCCTTGTGGCAGCTTTCTACAGAATATGCTCTCTTGTTACATAATATCACAAAGTAGGAGGCCATCAAAACCACGAGGATCACCAGTCCCATCAGGCCGGAATTGGCAATGACTATGAAACCAATTTTGTGTGTATCACTGCAGGCTAGTTTCAACAAAGCATATACGTCACAGAAATAGTGATCTGTTTCATTGGGGCCACAGAAAGGTAAAAATATAGTAAGAAGAAACAGGCCAAGGGAATGCAGAAACCCCCCTGCACATGAGGACATTAGAATTGAGTTACACCTTTGCCTATTCATGATGATGGCATAGTGAGGTGGCTTGCAGATGGCCACATAGCGGTCACAGGCCATTCCTGTGAGGATGAAGACCTCAATCCCCCCAAAGAAGTGCGTGGTAAAAAGCTGTATCATGCAGTTTTTATAGGAAATGACCTTCCTGTCTGTCAGTAAGTCGGTCATTAGTTTGGGTGTCACAGTGGAGGTGTAGAAGAGGTCTGAAAAGGCAAGGTAATTAAGGAAGAAGTACATGGGCTGGTTAATTAGCTGACTGCGCATGATAGAGACCATGATAGTCAAATTCCCCAACCAAATAGTCAAGTAACAGAGTAAGAAAAATAAAAAGCAGAGGATCTGAACTTTCTTATTCTTAGAAAGTCCCAACAGAATAAATTCAGTAACATTATTCCTATTTTCCATGGTCTGATTCTGAAGGAAGTTATCTGAAATGACAAAAGTAATGTAACAAATCATTGATGAGAAAACAGAAATCTCATATCTAATTAAAATGGCACGAATGCAATTGTTGAGGGCTAAGCCATTTTAAGATCCATTGAAGTCATTCATTTCACAAAATGCTCTGAGTATCCAGTGGCAATACTTTCCTAAGAAATGAGGACACAGTGATGAAGACCCAGCTTTTGTGTAATTTAAATTCTTTTGTGAAGAAGCAGGAAATTATACATGTCAAAAATATAAATAATAAATAAATAAATGTGTAAATTCAAATAGTGGTAAGTAGGGTGAAACATAATGTGCCACCTCAAGATGTGAACTGAAGGTAACCACAGAACTTACCTGACCAGATGGTTTCCCATCAGATCACAAAAACAGTGGTTTATACAGCGTTTGGCATATAGTCAATGTTAAATAAATATTAAGTAAAGAAGAAAACTGAGAAATAAACAATATGCTATAATCCTGAAGGAATAATATAATATTAGAGATAACCAACCAGCCATTAGGTAATTCATGACAGAACTGAAGTACAAATATTTTTCTGAATTGGTTTGTAATCTTTTTCGATTTATAAGCAGAAATAACTAGAATTTACTCCATGAAACGTCTATATTTCTTAAGTTATTTGTAGCTTCTATTGGGTAATGTATCTACAGCACTGCTTTTCTTATTTCTCACAGGATTACAGTAAACTCAACCTTAGTTTAAAACTTAATTATTGCTTCAGTAATTTTTAAATAAATTGACACATGTTTATACATCATTGATGTCTTCTGTTTTGTATATTAAATTGGAGGTATTCTACTATAAGCAAAATTAAACTTAATGCTAATTAAGAGATATAGGCTTTTTTCTTTTTTTAGCTTTAGAATTATTTATTTAAGAGTTAGTATAGTTTCTTTATAGGAAATATATATCTGAAAGTCAAAAATTTTTGTTTATATTCAGCTATATTACATCCAAGTTACATACTTAAATTAATTTAAGATTTAAGTATATTAACAAGGGTTATTTCATGATGGTTAGACTATGGAGGTTTACATTTTCCAATTTATATTCTTCATTTTCTAAAAATTTTGCCATGTACAAATTTATTTTCAAGAAAAGGAAATACTTTGTAAATAAAAGTATATTTTACATTACTAATAATTATGATTTATATTTATTTGAAAATGTCTTTATAAATATGATTGCCCACCTATCCTTTTAATGTAGTTTAAAATATATTAGAATTATACCCACTACAACCTGGAAGCCTACTCTCATTTTTATAGGAAACTAAGACCAGGAATTCATACTAATAATCATTCACGCCTAAGTGAAAATTTATTGAAAAACAAAAGTGCACTGATCTTTATCAGGTTTCTTTTTCTTGAATCATTGATCAGACCTGCAAATTTTGTTAAAATTTGCTAAGTAAATAGTAATATTTCAATTCTTGGTGTCAGTAATGCCAAAGGTCTTGCAATGTCAGATGAATGAGTAAAGACAGAAGATTTCAAAACATTACACAATTACGAATATTGTTTTCATAAGACTGTGACTCTGGGTCTGAGGAGAAGAAATGTAAAAATTTCTCCATTTGTTTTCTATTCATCTACTTTATCAAAATAGGTAAGTTTTAGAAAAGTTATTTTAATTACATTTTAGCAGGCAATCAATTATGTTTGCCAAGGTTGGAAATACACAGAAAATAGGCTTCCCCAATTTCAAAATAGGCTTCCCCAATTTCACAAGGCAGTAAAAATGATGCTTTGCATCTTTGACCAATCATTTTCTCGCTTACTTTCTTAGAAATCTGCCCACACAACTGGCATGATTCCTTAGAAGAATTTGTCTTCATATTGTGTTAAATAGAAGCACTTATACTTGCCTGCCAGGTAATCATCTGGTAAAGGCACTCTGTCGGTAGACAAAAGACCTAGCTTTATCTCCAATTCTCTTGTTCAGTTGCTCATTCCTTAGGATTTCAGGCTCCCACCCATACAGTAAAGGAGTTGGATTAGATAATCTCTGAAGGTCTCTCCAGATTCTGAGAGTGTGAGTATCTTAATTCTCCATCAATTTGGAGAAAGCACTGGTCTGCCTGCACCCTGCCTTGCTCACTGGATACACTGAGACTATGGACACTATGGTACCAGCAATTTCATTAGCATTTCTGTGCCTCAGTTTCCTTCTCTGTAAAACTGAAATAATCACAATACCTCCCAATGGGGTGATATTTTTAATTAAACGTTAATAAATATGAATTTGTTAGAACAGCACCTGGATAGCATTACACATCCAGTAATTGGTAGCCAGCTTCTACAATTACTAAAAGATGAATGGTCTAGAGAAAATGCAGACACCAGGTCAGGAGTTATATCTTGTATTAGCCATCTCTTCACACTATTGGAAATATCTGAAACTTTGGACATAGACCCTAGTTCAAACATAGATACTTAAAGGCAAGATTCTTCCCCTCCTTGAACACTTTTTCTCTACTTAGATGAAATGAACACTGTGGCGCCTAATCTACAGGATTACAGTGAAATTCAAATAAATTTACACATATGAAACTCAATGCTCAAAAATATACTAGCTCCCCTGTGTCTTTGGAATCCCTCCAGTGTTTATAAACTTTGGAGGTACCAAAGATATTTAAGTAGTAGTAGATCTTAGGAATTAAGAAGACAAGTTCTGGAGCTACGCAAAATAAGATAGAATCCAGTTCCAAAATTAACTCTAGAGCATAAATCTAGGGCAAAATAAATACACAATTTCTTCATTTATAAAATGAGTAATAATATAATTAAGTCTGAGGTCTGTTGTTAACTATTTAATGGATCATTTATGTAGAAGTTTAAGATAGAACCTGGTATATTAAGATTAAAAATTTAATAAATACATTTTATCATCGATATTATACATTTATGTCCTATCAGTGGGCATAAATATAAATTTAAAATGCCATGTCATTTAATTACTCCTATTATAAAGAGATTATTAAAAATACATAATATTTCAATATGAATAAGTAAAGGCAGGTAAATAAAACACAGCATAATTTCCCTGCCATGAACCAGCTATTCTATTTTACCTACAAACTGGGGTTTCTCGCTTCCAGGAAACGTTCTCTCATTAAACAAAATCTTTCCCTCCTTGGCAGGGTTAAACTGACCTTCTCCCCACAAACCTGCAGGTAAACTTCTTGCTCATTCCCGTCATTTAATGCTTTTGTTTTCTTTCCTTCAGAACTTTGGATGAACCCTACCTAAATTAGATGGATGTTCATATCCCCCTTTCATTTAAGAAAAACAAACCATTTATTAAACTAGGAAAAAAGAGACATACTCCGTAGATATTACATACTCTAGTAGGCCAATTAAAAATTTTGCCTTACATGTTTGCTTCTTTATCATTTTGAAATTGTACTGGTTTTTGCTTTTTAATCATTTTTATATCTAGTTCCTTCACTGAAATTCTGTCCCTTACATGCTGGCCGAGGACATCCTTCTTCCTTTTCAACTTTTCTTCATCATAGAATATAGGGGCTAATGATATGATCAAATTTGTGAAATTTTATAATAAAGCAAAACAAATAAATCTAGTAATATTTTGATAGATATGGCACTAATAACTCAAATAGCTCTTGCACAATCTGAAGTCCATCCTACCTAGTGGTTTATTATAGATGGAAGGCAACACAGAAGCTTTCCTGAAATAGTAAAAATATTATTTTTAAAGATTCTGGATTTTTTTCCCATTCAAAGTTTTATTAGAGATATTGGATAATTAGAATGATTCAAATATACTTTTTAAGGAAAATAGCTGGTACAATTATGAACTGAATTTAACTTACCAGCTGCTTAACTCACCAGATTTTTTTGCAAGCTGAGGCTTCAAACCTAAGATAAAGTCAAAATTTTTAAAAATCACATTACTTTGCAATAATAACTCTCAAATTGCACAAAGTCTCATGAGAGAACTCTTACGGTATCCATCAATATAAATGCATTTGGTAAATTGAACCAAGCTTGGTAAATTTTGTAAATTTGAGTTTTTTAGCAAATTAATTTTCTATTCTTAAAAAAGAAAAAGGAATTGTCTCTCTGACATTTACCTTTGTCTGTAGAAAAACATTATATATATGTAGTTTAAATATGCTGGCATTTAAAATGAATGCTGAGAAACATGTTATATAGAATAGCTCTCAATGTCTCTGAGGGTTTAGAAATTTCCCATCAGTATACTTTGTCAAAGATATAAACCATAGTTAAAATTTCTCCCTAATAGTTGTGCCAAATCCAATAATTATATTTCCCTACTGCATCAGGATCCAAAGCATTGAGATTAGACTTGGACATGGGGACTACAGGGAAACGTTGTACCTAACGTTCCTATGTCAGAACATGGCAGAAGCAGGCGGCTGAGGGAAGCTAGGATAAGCTGAACTGGGAAACATCAGAGAACCCTACGGAGAGACTTACAAGCACAGAATGTGGGCCAAGAATTTAATATTTAAATTTTCCCAGAAAAACAAGCATATTAGGGTATTGGAATTTCTAACTGATGCCTAGAAAACACTCCTTGTTAATACACTTGTTCTTCCCGGAAGCATTTGTTCCCAGAGGTTTCCTTGCCAGGTGTGCAGGTAGCTTAGAAATTTATCTCTGATTCCAAACTCCTTTCTAAAAATATATTATTTTTTATGATATATATATTATAGAAAATAGAGAAAACTATAACAATAAATAAAATCATCTCATCAATTCATTCATTTCAAAAATATTTATTGTCACGTACATCTAAAAATTGTGAATTGAATAAAAGTAGTATAGCGAATTCACATGGTGGACAACACAGTCTCAGCCCTCAATGAGGAAAGAGACTACAGGAGGAGAAAATAATAAACATGAGAACAAACAAATGTAAAATCACAAATAGTATATTCAAAAGAAAATTTCAGAAATTCAAAAGAA